TTTTGCTTTTTCCCATCAATCATTGCTATTGCTTCCGTGAGACCTGTAAATTCCTAATTCCTAGACAGCAGCATGTGCTTCGTCTACATCTGACAAGAATTCACATGTTCTACCAAGGGAAACGTGTAATTTAACAAAAACCAACAAAAGAAACCAGTGGAAGTGCAAAGTGCCCCTCCCAAGCCGAACATCGCCCATCAAAAATATCGAGAGCGCCTGAATTTTGCACATCGGCTTATTTCCATTCGTGAACGATTGATCCCCTCGAGTTTCCCCAACCAGTCACCCGTTTTTATTTATTCTTCAGTGACCTGGTTTGGTGCTACCAGACATTTCTTTGCAAGTTTCACTTTTATGGTAGCCCAGAAATCGGTGTGTACTTTAATTGGTTGATAGCTTCAGCCGGATCTCATAATGTGCGTCATAAATAAATGTGTTGGTTGTCGTAGGTGAGCCACCTATATCAATCCATCAGTAGGACTCAAAGGCACATTTGGCGCTAATTTGAAGGGCGGAGCCTGGGTGGAGATTCGCTACCTTTCTTTACTCGCCGGTGCGCTATTCCTCTACAGGCATCGCAAGAAGTGGCGTACCAATGAGACGGGTAGTACAATGGTTGTGAGTCTCCGCCTATTACTCCACCCATTGGATTAGCGCGGATGGTACTGTTGTGGACGCGAAGTGTAATATTTCTGACCTCGATATATAACAGTGCTTCTGGGAGAATTCTGCCGAAGAGCAGTGCATGAACTGCAGAGCTACGTTTTAAAAACTTCTAAAGTGCTTTTTAAGGTCCCTTCTCGCCTACAGCTGGATCTCAGCCGCACCTGAGCTTTCAGCGATGAATGCTGTCGGCGGCACGGCAATGTATGGATTACATCAACTATTCTCTGTGATTTTCTTTTCAGATTATCCTCCAAATACTTTATCCCTTAGCGTAGTAACGCCAATTGTGTTGTAATTGTGTTCGTGTTGAAGGAACTCGGGTATCACACGAAAGTTTGCTTGAATTCCTATTGCCGTAGTACTATATGAGGGTTCCCTTGTGTGACTGCTAATATTATACGTATACTTTTTCACAATTCTTCTGTTGGAACTCTGCTCTTTATAGAGCGTATTGATTGGTTTTTTCGATTATTCCCTTTCACGACGTCTTTTTTTCCAAGCTTTTCCAAGTTTATTAGCTTTAAGTTTCTGGAAAAGTTTATCTGTGAAATTTCTTTCAAAATCAAAATGAGGGGTGTCATCCGAAAGATCAACTCAGTGGCAGTGTACGGGCCCTTTTTCAGGAATCATTCCTATTGGCAGACGAACAGCAGTGGAAAATAGCAGCTAGAAGTAGATCAAATCAGACATTGATGGTTGGGTAATGTACAATTTCTCTGCGAAG